TATGAAGCGACATCTTCCTTTGTCGTCACTACTTCCTCTTTAACACCTGCAAGTTCAATATCTCGACTGACTCTTTCTCTTATCTGTATAGGAACTCTAGCAGGTCCTGTATAAATATAAAAGTAGTCATGTGTTATTTTTAAAAATTAAATTATCTATTATAATTTTAATTAATGGTTAAATTTTATTTATTTTTTATAATTTTATTATCATTTTTTGTTAATTGTATAATAAAAAAATATTTATTTTAAATATTATAATATTAAATAGACTATAAAAGATAAATAATCATGTTTCATTATTTATTACAAAAATAATATATATTTTTATAGTTTTTTATTGTCAAACTTAGTTAATAAATTATTTCTTACATTATAATTAATTGTGAAATTATTTTATTTTATTTTATTATATGAAATGAGATGGGTCGGGAAAAACCTAAATTTAAGACTCGGGTTACCCATTTACCCGACGAAAACCCACTAACCCGTCGGGTAAAACCCAACCCGAACCAAAAAATCACTAGTCGGGTAATTGGGTCGGGTTTGGGTAGCGTAAATTATATACGGGTCGGGTTCGGGTTTGCCAAAACCCACCCATTTACATCCCTAAATAGGAACACTTATAGAAATAATAAAGAAAACTCAATTAGAAACATTTGAAAAATTAGAATAAATAAAAGGATCAGTAAAAGAACTACAAGATTTAGTACAAAAGGAAAAAAACGCGGACAAAGTTATTTAAACCAATTCAAATAGAACCACCAACAAGTTCTAATGGATGATATAGATAGATTAACCCAACTATTAGAAATATGTAATATTGAAGAAACTAGAATGACAAAAATAGATGATGAGGATAAACAATGAATAATCTATGGAATAGATAGTGAAGATGAAGATGAACCCACATTTAATATGACTTATCAAAAACCTCATACAACACCACAATTATCACCAAAACGACCTAGAACAAATAATAATGAAGCATCTAGTTCACAAAATAATTATGTAGAAAGAAGTTTTAGAGATTTTATATATATAAATGATTATAGTTATCATCAAGAAAAAATAAAGAAAAATATACCACCAACATATTTAGAAAAAGAAAGAAATTTATCTAATAGAATATTAAATATAGATTGTGCAATCAATGCAGAAGATTTAATCATTAGTCCAAATTAATGATTCAATGATAAATGGAATGACATTAACAGATTTTGTCAATTACATAAGATATAAAACATCAGGACTATTATTTGATTATCTAGAAATTACTCAAATCCTACTTAATCTTGAAGCTAGTGGTTCAGAAATAGGAGCAGAATATAAAATAGCAGCCTTAAGAGAATTAGCAAAAAATTTATTAAGAGAATTTTTAGGAATTACAGGGCAAGAATCAAAAAAAACACAAAAAGATAAAGTAGTTAGATTTCTAACTAACATGAAGTTATGCAATATATGTTATATCAAAAATTTCTTCTGTCAAGTAAGATAAAATTTTTATAAAATTAAGGATCGATCAAGACTAATAGAAATAGTTGAAAGCAAACTTAAATATGAAATGAATAAATATATTTAGAAGAAAATTAATGAAACAAGAGAAAAAAAAACTCTAGGAATTTTAGAAAAATATACAAAAGAATATAGAGATGAACTATGTATAAGGAAAATAGAACACCACGAAATGACTAAAGTCGATTCAAGATGTTGTAAACAATTAGAAAGTGTACCGCAAGAATTTGGTTGTTATGAACCATATAGAAAGAAAAAATATTATAAATACATTAAGTTTAACAGACGATATAGACCAAGAAGATATAAAACATTTAGAAACCCGTGGAAAGCAAAATATAAAGGAAAGTTTAGAAAACAAGAAAAATACTTAGGAAAACCTAAATATTGTCCTAAAGGGAAAAAAGATTGTAGATGTTGGAATGTCAAGAAATAGGACACTATGCAAACGAATGTCCTAAAAAAATATCAGAAAAAGAAAAGAAGTTAAAAGTGATATTTTCTTTAGGTTATGAACCTATTGAAGAAGAATATGAAGAAGGTGAAATATTAGACTTTGATATATATGATTTAGAATTTGAAACATATAGTGATTTGGAAACATCTAAATCAGAAGATGAGTAAAAATAGTTCATTTATAAAAGTTAAATTGTTTAATAAATTTCTATTAGCATATATAGACACAGGTGCAACTATATGTCTAGCAAAAGAATCTATATTACCTAGTAAATATTGGAAAAAATTAGACAAGCCAATTATAGTGAGAATTGCAAATAATAAAACAATAAGTATTGATTACAGAGCAACAGATTTAGTATTGTTAATAGAAGAAAAATGATTTCCTTTACCAAGTCTTTATAAACAAAATACAGGTTTACCATTGATAATTGGAAATAACTTTCTTAAGTTATATGGTCCATAATATTTAAAGTGTTACAAATACCTAATCCCCAAAATCCCTCGGCGCCCGTCTCTTCCATCGCAGCGATTCTTGGCCTTCCCCGGCGACGTCTTGCTCCGGCCAATGGTCATCTTCAGCCGCTTGCTCCTCTCCTGACCTGTTTTGCTTCGATGTTGCTGCGGGCGATCGGAATTGGTGGCTCGATCCAGGGTTTCAGATGGGGCTCGTCTCGTGGTGTGGCTTCCGAGCGGAGACTGGCCAGCGTCTTAGTCGCCGGCAGGTCCTTTGTTCAAGGTCGTCTCTTTCGTGATATGTCTCTAATCTGCGATCTGGAGGCTCCTCTCGCTTGGTTTCGTCTTCGGGTGATGTCCGACCTCCGGTTCCGGTGGCTTGTGGTGACGCGGGGTGTAGGTCGGTTTGAAGGGTGGGGCTTTGGCAGCGTTGTGGTGGAGCAGGGCTTTGGTTGGGTTTTTCGCTGCAGTTGCCGGAGTTGCAGAACAAGCCTCTTCCTCCCTCCCCTCTCGGCTAGTGGTGTTAGGCGGCGGGGGATTTGGTCCTCCCGGGCTCGGCTAGTGGTGTTAGGCGGGTTCGGGTGGGGCTGGTGTGGGAGTTGGTTTTGTTTTCTCGGTTGAATTTGGGTCGATTCGGGAGTGGTTCGAGGCTTGGTTTCGACTATTGTATAGGCAGTTTGCAGTTTCGGTAGTGGTTTCTCGAGTTTGGAATCTTTCTTGAGTCGATCGTTCGCTGTTGGTTGTGACGGTTCGTTTGCTGGGGAAGGGCTTTGTGTGTTTTTTATGTTTCTTCTTATGTTCTTTTTTTTGTCTTTGTTGTTTAGGATTGTATTTTTGGTTTAGGCCGTTGGCCCTGTTAGTCCGTATTACCCCATAGGGGTCGTCCTTATTCTCCTTTGAGGAGCGTTTTCAGTGTAGGTTGTGTGTGTTGTGTTTCGTGTGTGCCGTTTGGATTCTAGTATGGCTAGTGTCGGTATCTAGGCGATCTCCGGATCTCTCCTCTCTGTTTTCTCAGTTGTTGGTTGCGTAGTTCAGCTAGGGGTTGTACCTTTGCACTTTTGTGCGCTTTATTTATAGAAATCTCTATCGTTTCGAAAAAAAAAAAGTTATATAATCCATTTATTCAAATAAGTCTTAGATGTCCACAATTAGATACACAGTCTAGTAGGATAATTACTACAAAAATATATAATACGTCTTCTTTCATACGGGGAAAAATATTACGAAAAGTTTCACTCCAAATTTATAAAGTAGTAAGTATAACTTTAGAAGAACACGTTAATCAGTTGTTAGAAAAAATATGTAGTCAAAATCCATTAGATCCAAATAAAAATACAAATAATATGATAGTAAAGATAGAATTGATAGATCCTAACAAAGAAGTTAATGTGCCAAACAGAATACCATATACAGAAAGAGTTGTTAAAGAATTTCAAGAAGAAACTACTAAAATGTTAGAAAAGGGAATTATACAACCTAGTACAAGTCCACATAATGCACCAGCATTCTATGTAGAAAATCATAATGAGTTAAAAAGAGGAAAAT